TAACATATTTTTATCATTTTCGGAATATTTCAATATCCAATTTTGAAAGCATTTAACAATACATCACCCGTAATTGCATATCGTTGTCTTTGTCAAGAATTCATATATTCCACAAAAGTAATATCTCATTAGTTGTCTTTCCATTTTAGTGTAAGTTGAATAACTTTGAGATGATATATTTCTTATTTTAAAATCATGTTCTAATTTTATATTTCATTCTAATAAATGAATGATACATGTCATAATAACATTACAATTATACATATGTTAATCATTCAACAATAAAACTTGGAAACTGAAATGTAATTTTAAAACATTTAATTTTTTCCCACCTTGAGAAAATAACTTTTTGGGTGAGCACTTGACAAGGAATTCATTTTTATTGGCTTCTTCTTTTCAGAAATGGTAAAATAATTCAGTGTTCATCAAAACATATTAAACAACGTGCTGAAATCATACAATTTTTTTTTCAGCTAGTTAATATAATAAAAAAAATCATTAAACTGTACACTAACTTGCTAAGATTTTTATTAATAAATATTATAAATTAACTAACCTATCAACTAGTTTTACCAAATATAGCATAAGGTGAATGAACAAGAAATGAAATTAAGTGGTGAGTATTTTCATCTGATTTTGGTATAAATGTATATATATATATATATATATATATACTTATATTAAAAGGTATACTATTTACCAGATTTAGTATAAAGAAAAGTCAACAACATTTATTGCATTACTATTTCCGTATTATACAATCTATACTTATATAAAAGGAGATTCTATTTACTACATTTATTGTCCAGAAAAGTCAACTACATTAAATGTCATTACTATTTTGGTATTATAATATTTTATTTATATAATTGATTTATTTATTTTTTTTATTTTAAAAAGCTAAGTATAATAAAAAGATTTTAATAATAAAAAAATCAAATACCAAATAAAAATGTACACTTTGACTTATTTGATTATATTTGGTATTTGATTATACCAAATATATTCCTATTTAGTATATATATTAAATACTTACTAAAGTATTTATTTGTTTTATTTGTCAAAGTTAAGTATAGATTTGTTTATATTATCAAATCATAAAAAAATATTAAATCCATATTGTAAAAAAAAAAAATCATATAATTTTATAACAATTCTACTACACTATTTAACAATATTTCTTTTTTATTATATAATAAAATAATAATTAAATATTATATGGTGAACAACAATAAGTAAAACTGTTACTTTCTCTTATATCAAGGGATAAATTTATATGCTAAAATTAAATTTTTATTAGTATAAATGTTTTAGTGAGATAATATATTAATTATTTTACAAGCTAGCCCTAACATGCTCATATTTAATGTTTTAAAAGATGTAGAAAAAAAACTTATAATAACTCTATTGTTTTTTAGACTTAAACGTTGATTAAAAGAGGTAAAAATTCTTAATTTTTTAGACTTAAACATTGATTAACACCATAGATTGAGAGTTTATATTTAGTAAAATTCTTAATTGTAATAAAAAAAATTAATTTTTGCTATATTTTAGAATATCCTTAAATTCATTATTAAAAAAAAAAGAAAAAAAAAACTACAATGAAAAAAGCAAGTCAGCTATATATCGATTTGTTGTACTTCTCAAATCACATTCACAATTTGGCTACAAGGAGAGAAAACTCATTGATTAAATATTATTTTGTTAGTAGTCTTAATGTACAAGAGACTTTAAGACTCGACTTGAATATTATAAAACTTTTATTGGACATTGTACAATTTTCTTGCGTATTATAAATTTTTATTGAATATTGTATCTTATAATATAATATTATCCAAATAAATATATCTCACGTACTATATATATCTCGTACATTTTTGTTTATATAATTATAAGCTGGATAAATAAATTGTGCACCCCATGCATCGCACAGGCTCTGTACTAGTTTAATTTTAAAATCCATTGAATTTCATTAAATCAAACACTTATTGTAATTCACGATTAATTGAAGACACTAAACAATTATATAACTGATCTGGACACCTATTTTTTCAGGACTCTTGCAGACAACTTTCACTGTAGACTTGAATTTATACATCAAAATCAATCCAATTCAAAACAGACAGACATACCCTGGCAAACCTTCATGTCAACACAAACTTCCATAGCCTTCCCAAGGTACCTACGTACACACAACTCTGTATTTAACCAATAATTCTTTCTAGATTCTTGATTTGAAATCAATTTATTGACATGTGCACGGTTTGTTTGTTCGTTTTTTTTTTTTTTTCTTCCTCAGGNAGGTAATAAAAACTCCCCCTTTCCGTGTGCGTGGCTGAGCACAAAAAGAGTGAGGTTAGTGCGTGGGCGCGCGTGTCGGGCTTCAGTTCAATAGTCAATACAGAGTGAGTTGGGTCTTTCAAGAAGCTGAAAAACAAGGTCTTGTTGGTTTTGCACGCCATTGGTAAAGAACGGATTTTTACGCCCATTTTTTTGCGCGAAATCCCATCTTTTGTCCAAATCTTTGAAAAAGTAAGAAACTTTCTTGCTCTATCAGCACACACACTATGTGGGCTGCAATGTGTTAAGTGATTTTTAGATTTGGTTTGAAGCCTGGGATTGTCCATTTGTTTATTCATGTTTAGCCACAGTTTTGAGATAGCCAAGTAGCACTATTTTATATATTTGTGGCTGAGCACCGAATAAGAATAAAATCAATGTCTTTTTGTATGTGTATAGCGTTTGTGTGCGTGTGTGGGTGCATATGTAGCTTTCTTGTTTAATATTTTTTTTTCTTTTCTCTGTCTTTGGTGCAAATTATTTTAATTGTTTTCCGTTAAATTGTCCAACTTCACATGTATGCATTCAATGACATTACTTATCTGATGGTATTATCATGTTCTTTAGTGCTGTGCTGGTTTAAAGCAAGAAAAAAAAAAAAGAGAGGAAAAATTGCTTTCTGAAGCTTTGAAATTAGAAGGAGAATGAAGAAATTTGGGTCTGAACAGAGCATTTACATTGACAGTGAGGAAGAAGATGAGAAAGTTGAAGCTAATGAAGCTGGGAATGAGTCTGATTATTCAAACTACTCTAGCGATAATGATGATAATGGAGATCATAGGCAGAGAAAGCCCAGTTCTCTCAATCCCTCTTGGCCCCAAAGTTACAGGTTACTTCCTAACTAACTCTCCCTCTTTGTGTTTGTCTGTGTGCTGTGCTGTGTTGTGTGTGTGTGTGTGTGAGAGAGAGAGAGAGAGAGAGAGAAGAGAGAGAGAGATCACAGGTTTAATGCTGAATCTTGATGATTAGGTTATGAGCATTATTGAAAAGTGTTGTTAATGTCGATTGTTTTTCTAGACATTTTCAGTAATTTGAGGCCGTTAAAATATTTTACAAATCGGCATTTTGTTTCAAGGCTCTTCTGAGTGATGGTTTATGTTGAGCAGGGGAATGATGAATTTTGCTGTGAAAAATATTCTCAGTTGGAGATTTTTTTCCGAATTGTGTCTATAATTATATTTTAATGGCCTTCTGTTCAACTCAATATGCATCTCTAGCAGCATTTTTTTTAATTTTTTTGCTCTTGTTTTGGAATTCGGTTAGCACAAGCTTACTAATTCTGAAAAATCGATCCAAGTCCTAAAGAAGAAGCAAAAAATCTCTGATTAAGTAGTAAAAACAAGTCTTGGTATTGTTTTACAGTATCAACTTTTGAAAGTTGGAGTTAATCATTTTTTATAATTTACACACAGAGTTTCTGTTGTAAATTAAACTAGTGTGTACCCCGTGCGATGCACGGGAACAATATTAAATTAACAATATTATAAATAGACCTCGAGTTTGAGTCACTCAATGGCGGAAGTGGAAACTACTATTGATCCTATTTAAAAAGAGGAAGAAAAAAAATAATTATAAATTAAAGAGGAGGATAAAAAATACTTAATAATTATAAATTAAAGATTCGGGGTCAAACAATATAAAATTATTTTGTATAAGAGAATATATAAAATTTTAATCACACACCATTTCAAAATTATTATTATACTTTTTTGTATGGTTAGCTTATAATATTTGTAAAAATATTAGTAATTAGACCGATGAAAATTAGCTTCTTAAGGTAGATAATGAATTTCTAGTAGTAATTATGAATTGGTTTCTATTTTATTTTATTTTTTCAAATCTCTATAGATCAGGGATGAGACGTGAGACTTATGCAATGAGATTTTGTAACAAAAGAGATAAGCTCGTGTAGATTTATACTAAAAATAGGAAAAAGAAAAACAAATATTTATTGTCAAACAACGGTTTTGATAAACTAAAAAATATGAAAAAAAGAAACAAATCTTTACACAATTAATGAACTGATTTTTTTGCCTATTCAAGTTTGTCCAACAATTACTATATGTAGGATATATTTAATGATTTTGGCGGGAAAAAGTTTCTAAATTTGTAAAAAGGTTATTCTTTTTATATAATGATAGATTAATCTGCAAAAACTACAATTCTAAACCTGTGTCACAAAAACTCGTCACAGGCAATCGATCGATCTATACAGTAGTGTCCCATCCCCAAGTCTCAACTTTCTCGGTACACCAACATTATCACGTTTAGGCAGCTCTTTCCTTTCATCGACCCTTACAAGGAGACACACTCCCGAGATATTACCTTCTTTGAGTAAGCCTCTGATAGAGGAGGAAAAATCTAAAGAAAAACGAAGCTCGCATTATCTTTTGCCACCTGTACACTCGAGAGTAAAGAAAGTAGACGAGGATGGTAAAGTATCGGATGCTCACGGGCTCCCGATTTCTCGCCAGTGTTCGTTTGGCCAAGCCGTCTTAAATGGTACGTTTTATAATCTCTATTTTATATATTGTTTTTATTTATTTATTATTTTGAACCGTGTATTTCTAAGGAGAATTAGCATATTTACCTTACTTTACCATTCAACTTTCCAAAATGTGATGCAAGGACCAAAATGGATGCACTGCATCAAGAGAGAAATTGTGTGTGTGTGAGTGTGTCTGTGTGTGTGTGTGTGTGTGAGAGAGAGAGAGAGAGAGAGAGAGAGAGAGAGAGAGAGA